GGCGTGCATTTCAATACTTGGAGTATGTATTATACTTTCTTATCTGAGATTAATCAGTGGACCTTTCGGTTTTTGGAAAACACATGCAAAGTATAGGTATATTGCACAGCATTTTCACATGTTTAATTGTGTTCATGATGTTATTACTTAATTAGAACAAAGAACTTAAATAGCAGAAGAATGAGCTGTTCCGCATACGTATTTGCAATAAAATTGATGGAACATCCGCCCTCCCGCGAATGGGGTAAAATTTGAATATTTTACTAAAGTGGAGAAACTACAGGAAACAAACGAACCAGAGCGGCGCCTTTATTATTACTATGTAGCGCCGCAGCGCGGACGGGGTAAAATTGCTCTCCGTGTACCCACAATGCCTTTCGAACGGATGTTCCACTATATTGGGAAGCTGCTCTATCTTCTGCTATTTATTATCTTTGGGCCTACAGTTCTAATTAAAGATAATAAATAGCAAAATAATAATAATACTAATATTAAAATATGAAAAGCGTGATTTAGAATTTATCTTCAGAATTCGAATGCGCATGTTGATGCGCGCTTGATACTTAAATGTCTATTTTAATCTGACTGAAAAGACCTGCCTTTCTTCTCTTTACTTTAGGCCTACACAATATATTACGGCCAACTGACCTATGCTATTTTAATATTTATGAATAATAATAATTAAATTAATAATACAATATTTGTATAGGGCTCGCTCATATTCAATTTTAAAGAACAACAATCTAGATAGGTCTACCCTATTTACGGATCATTGAAATCTGTAAAGCCGGCCAAGGCTAAAAGTAATGAAACTGGCTGTTCAATATTGGGCTGCCAACACTGACTTTGATAAAACAGGCAGGAAAAAACGATACGGTAACAAGACCAATGAATCGAGGAGACAAAGGATTGCCCTTTACTTTTTAAACAATAATTTTCTGACGGTCTATATGGCAGGATTGCCTATTGAAGAATACTTTGTATCGAGGGGACTCTGTCATAGACAAGGATTAAAAAACTGCTGAAAAATAGTAAATTAATACAGTATATAAAATATGAAATGGAATATAAAGTAGGGAAATAATAAAAAATCAATATCTATAAATATAGTTACATGAAATTCAGCTGCTAAAACGATTAAATTAAACTACAGGAGGCCGCTAACTGTATTACACTATACGACCATACACAGGCAGGAAAGTTTTGGACACGGAATTTTTTTTTTTATCTATGGTTCTGTCTTCTCTTCAGCCAGAACCATATATATATTTCTATCTATGGCTCTGTCTTCAGCGGTCGAATAGCGCCCTCAAACATCAACAGAGATAGAGAGAGCTGAGGGAGATTGGCGGGTACCGGCGAAAGTTTGCACTGCGATTGTCCATATCCAGGGGCCAAGATTAAGAATGATGTCTATGAATAATTTGTTTTACAGTTAGTTGATTACTATAACATTTAAAATGTTACTAATATTAACCTGCATGCTTATTATTGATTTAGGTTAGGCCTAGTAGTTGTGACAAGGACATGGTAGCTCTTAAACAATTTCTTAGGCCAGCCTACTACTACTACTAGCTAGGCTAGGCCAGGCAAGGCTACTACTAGCCTAACTAGACACTAGGCCTCCACTTCAGACCTGACTAATGATGGTTAGTCTAGGCATGAAGGTAAATATCTCGGCTATGGTCTAGGCTAAGGTTGTTGGTTGGTTGGTAAAGCAATTTTTACATCAACACGAATGGCATTGGTGACTTTTGCTCTAGGCCTATATCTCACTGGAGCCCTATTCTCTAATCATTTATTATGCATCCTCCGTGCATCCCCCAAGCCAAGGCTGGGCCAAGTTGAGGCCCATGTCTTCTCGTTACGCCATGACTGCCCGATGATTAATTAGGCCTACCCTAGGTCTATACTATTACTAGGCCTATCATCAATTTCTTTCAGTTCATAAGGGCTGCACATAACTGAAATGGCAAATTTGTCTATGTTTTATGCCTGCTAGGTATGCAAGCTTGGAGATTGCTCAATCGTGGTGGTCGATTACTACACCTTTCCCCTTCTCAACACATACAGAAATTATCATCAAGAAGCAACCAACTTGGCTTTTGTCAGGTATTAGCAGCTTTTACTCAAATACAAAGATCGTATACTGAACGAGCAAATTATATTCATGTGGAACAAGATGCAGACATACAGGGTTAGTAATCCACCTTCGTCAGAACAAGTTCTGGCATATCTGTGGTAGCCAGAACGTAAAGTATGTCCCGCATGGGGAATGTATCCACACCAATTTTTTTATCGATTTTCTGCACAAATTTGTGCTGGTTTTTTGAGGTATCATCTGCATAATTTAAAAAAACTTTACAGTATGGTGTGGTAGAGCATTGGATCTTTAAGGTAGTTTACCCCCGGGTTACCAGTGGAGCCCTGGTATTCAACCTTTTTAATATGGTGACCAAAAGCCAGACATTCACTGCGCCATACGACGGTCGTATGAACGTCGCACGACAAATCCACATATTACATTCCAGCTTTGCTACCTTGGTGGCCCAAACCTCTGTCGAACTATTTTTTTTTTTAGGAATGTTGTCCCATTAACAGTTTCAAATTAAATTTAATAGTCAAATTCATGACATATATAGTTCGGAGACAGTTACACTTGCACAAAAGAAGGGAAGACTAGGCCTATTCCTATTCACCAACAATATAGGCTAACACTATCATATTATAATTAATGAGATAACTCCATGCGAGTACTGTCCATGATTTTTTTCTCCACAAAACATCTGGTGACCCTGCAGAATATCTTAGTGATCGTATACTGTAATTTGAATACCAGGGTAGGAGTGCATGTGTTGCTAATAGTGTACTTGGCTGAAATCAGAAGAATTATCACATAATTTTATCATATTTACTGTGGTAATACAGTAATTGTATTTGATAATTAATATGAATTAAAAATGGACATTATTAACTTGTTAATGATGATTAATTTCATTACAGACATTTCGATTTTACGATTTGATCGTAAACCAGTGAATGGTCTCAACAAAGACTTTTTGATTGAGATGGATATGGCCCTCGAGAAATTAGAAAACAACCCCAGCTGTCGTGGCGTCATACTAACCTCAGTAATGCTTTTTTTTTCAATATTAATGTAAAAAAAAATTATTTAAACATGTTTATAATGATAATGTTGTCAAAAGACACTTATTAATTTTATTTCATGATGTAATTTCAATTGGTTCATTGATTTCGGATGAGTAGCAAGGGATCTCATGAAATATTTTTAAAATTGCATTCCGAGTCAATTCACTGAAAATTATCATTGTTATATAGCGTTACAGAAACCATATTAAAACAATGACATTTATTAATTTGTTAATTTAGTTAATCATTCATTATTATTATTTATTTATTTAATTTTTGGAGAAGAAATTTACAGAAGGAATAAAGTAATCATGGAGGTATTGTTATCAAGTTAATATATCCTGTAACCTTTTTTTTTCTCTATAAAAATTCAATAAATGCTGTCACATTTTCAGGCATTTCCAAAGATTTTTTCAGCAGGTCTTGATATTACAGAAATGTACCAAAAATCACATGATTATACCAATGCATTCTGGCGCAGTCTTCAGAACATGTGGTTGAGGCTCTACGGCTCACGCCTTGTTACTATGGCAGCCATTAATGTAAGTGCCTTACCATGTTTTTTATTGGTTGTACAATATTGGTTAGGCAGTGTCCTTTATCTGTACAGTTGAGAGTCCTTTGATGAGATGCATAGAGGAGGAGGCATTGATTAATTTTGTTATGCACTAATGTATGAATAAATTGATGAATGAGTGGATGGATGGGTGGATGAATGTGTGGTTGGGTGGATGGATGATAGATAGGTAGATGGATGATTAATGGGTGGATAGATGCATATGGATATGGTGGATGGATAGATGGATAAACATAATGGACGATGGAAAGATGGATGGAAAAATGGATATGATTGATAAATGGATTGATAAATGGATGATGGATACATGGATGGATAAACCGATGAATATGATTGGTAGACAGATGAATGGATATGATAGAGTGATGGATGGATAAAGAGACAGTGATGAATGGGTGGAGGAAGAAAGAGATAAATACAGAGGGACGGGTGGATAAATAGATGGATATATAATTGACTTACTGAAATTATTGGATGATTAAATCAATACATTTCATCATATTTGAATTTTTTTTTTCCAGGGACATAGTCCGGCTGGTGGCTGTCTAATAGCAATGTCATGTGACTTGAGGGTCATGGCTTCAGGGCCGTACACCATTGGTCTCAATGAAACTTTATTGGTATGTGTAAAGTCCGCATACTGCATACAGTACCTAATAATAATTGGCTCTCTCTCAGATATGCTTCACACCAAACAATTTTTCTTTGCTAAGCACAGCTCTTGAATACGCGCTGCGATGCTTAATAGAAATACATAATCTGTTTTGAATTAATATTACTGTGCCTAATTAGTAGTACCTATTATAAAATGCCTTGATGTTTTCTATGATAGAATTATTAATCATTTTCTTGCATAATTCATAGTACAGTACTAATGTTTACTGTATAAGTCAATCGTGACGTCATCATCATCATCTTGCAGGCCCTCAGAAAATTTGTTGGAGTATTAATCTAACCTTCATATAATAAATTTCCAATAGTGTATGATACACAACTCTACTAATTGCTTAATATTAAGTTTATGAAATTTTTACTTTTCAGGGAATTGTTGCACCTTTCTGGTTTATGGATACGATGAAAAACACTGTTGGACAGAGAGAAACAGAGATAGCTTTGCAGTTAGGTAAATATAGGCACTATAACTGCACATTCAGTATTTTACTCATACATTTAATATTTAAAAGGTGGAGGTAATAAGTTTGTTGGGAGCCATGGTGAAATCAGGGTAGAGGGGAAAATGGTATGAAAAGGGGAAGTTGAAAAGGGAGGTAAGATGAAAGGCAATCGTTCCAAAACAACAATTAAATAGTTAGGAAATTAGGAGTACCACACTTATGTAGACCAGTTGTTATTGTTGGTGTGTGTTGGACTTCAATCAAGTTATACGTTCCAACACAATTTTATGTTTAATACCTTAAAGTTTAGCATTACACAATATTTGATATGTTCTTGTAAATTATTGTACTCATTAGGAAAACTGTACAGCCCAGAGGAAGCACTGGAGAAGGGTCTTGTGGACATATTGGCTGCTGATACTGAAGTGGTGAATGTTGCCAAGTCACATATGGTAAATTGGTTGAAAATACCAGGTATGTTTGATTGAGTTTATTTTGTATAAAACACCTCAAAACTATAAAGATTAAAGTAAAAACATATCAAAACTCTTTTAGACTTTACATAACTAACACAAACATAAAACAGTCAAAAAGGCACGACCGTATAAGCAGTAACAACATATCAAAATTCTATTAGACTATATTGTATATATATATATACATATATATATATATATAATAAAAATAACATATAAAATCTTATCTCAAACCTGGTTGAAGACATATATTAAATTAGCCAGCAGCTAAAGATAACCTAACACATTTTAGAATATCTGCAACTACATCAAAAAACTGTATTATTTACACCTTACTCTGTGCCACATGCTTCCACAACTTACATTATTAATAAATTATTTAATACCTTCAGAGTATTTCATGTATTTTAATAAACTAGCAGCCACAATCATGAATAATATTTCATATCCATAAAAGGTAGATATAGCAGAATAACCATAACTTGCAGCATCATTACATTGAATTGCGTATGGGCGTGGTCTGAGACTACCTAGCAGCTGTGAAGAGGCGCTTACAGTATTTACATTTTCACATCATTCCACAATGACAGCAGCTAAAATGAACCATAGCATCGGAGAGCACCCTACTCTTCTGAAATGTGCAATGGGTTCTTTAAAGTGCATACGAGCCAGATGTGTACACTGGACCTCCCAACCGAAACCATGGGCGAGAAGCGGCTCCAACCAGCGTCGATGATAAGGCTGTAGTTAGCGGTGCCCCTACCTTATCACTTGGCCACTCGCCTTGTCGGCAAATTAACTCGCCTCAAAAATACTTATATATGAACCTAATAGATTAACGATGTATCATCTATCAGCATAAAATCAGACTTATAATAAACAACCACATTAAAATATTGTTGAAATTTACTTTTCATAGACCATGCACGAGAAATAAGCAAACAAATGATGAGAAAGAAAACTCTGGAGAAACTTAGGACCAGGCAAGATGATGATATTGCATACTTCACAAACTTCATTCAGAAGGACTCGATCCAAAAATCTCTAGGAAGGTACTTACAGAGTCTAAAGAAAAAGAAGTAAATGTTAATGGAATAAAGGCGACTTTTTGTTGGTCTCGGAGTTGATTTTTCCAATGTTTATTTAAAAATATTTCAAGAGGGTGGCTTTTATGGAGAGCTGAATCTTGAGGTACTTTTATATTCAAACATACGAGTGTATTAATAAGCATGCTAACAATTAAAACATGGTCAGAGAAACATATATTAACAACTAATAAAGTTAACAATGACAGATGTAGAGTTAATCCAATCTAAAGTAACAGTAAATACAAGAACTCATTATATCTATTTACATTGTTATAGTTATTAAATCTTGATCAACATTATAGTTCACCTTTTTATTTTTTATTTAGACAGTCTCTGATTGTATAAAGTACTTTATTTTTTTCTTGTTCATTTTTATTTGTTTAACCACATTTTATATTTACACACTATTTATTGAGACAAATATGGTCAGTGGTCATGCATTTTAATGGTGCCTTGCACAATGGCGCCTTGCGTCTGAAGATGCTTTTAAACCACTAAAAGAAGAAATTGATGAGCAGATGCGAAGGCGAAAGGAAGGTGCACGCCCATTTACTGTAATGGCGTGATGATGTCAAAATTGTGAAATGTGTCTTTAATTGACAATAAAATGTTGGCAATTTGAATGAATTATTGTCTCAGATTTTATTAGAACCTGTATGTAAAGTAAAATGATGCACTGAGTTTACAGGCTGGAGTGCTCATCTCTCTTTCTTGGCATTTGGGCTGGACTACAATGCTGTGGGCTGGGTGAGTGGTTCCCGTTTACACTCCTTGATAGAGCAAGGCAAGTGTAGATATACTTATACAAAGCTGTTGAAAGCATTTTGCAAGTGGTCCAGCCATTATAATAGCAGCATAACGCTAGGAATGACTTAACAGAGGACCAGAAGGAGGAAGGGTCGGGGTGCTCTGTTTTGTAGAAATTGGGAAATATACTCTCCTCTATACAATAAACATGTAAGCAGTACAGTACTCTTATTTTCTCTTAAATCATTCCAAAAAGTGTAAAAGCCTTTAAAATATTGAGGTTTTCAATGTTTAGTGAAAGTTTAATCTTTAGGCATGGCCTCTACGGTGGTGAAGCACCACTGGGCCCCAGTCCAAAGGGGGCCCCTTCCTACTAACACACAGACTTGACATTACGGACCTGCTAAGGACACCAAAAGCAAGCAAAGTAAATAATATTTTTCAGTTTCAACTTGCAAATGCCTTGTACTGTATTCCCAAAACACTTCTTCAATACAATATCAATTTCCGACTAAGAAATGCTCTGCAGCACTAAACTGAAATTTAAATGGTTAACAAAGTGATCAGGTAAATGGCTACTAAAGTTTACAGGAAAATTCGCATCAGTGTGATATCAACCAACAGCAAATTATAGAAAGATAACAGATGGTATTGTTGACGACAATATAATATACTGTGAAGGGACCCTCCTATTCTACTATGGTTTAATATATTTCAACGGTATTTCCATTGCCCGGTCAGGGCTGAGGTGAGCAAATTTTGAAAGATTGCACCTCTAGATGCTAGAAAATATCCGATGGCAAACCTGCAGAGCGGCTATCACTGCTCGGAAATTTGTGTTTCAGACCCTCCATCTTTGAAAATTCCTCACTGGGCCTCCTATTTTTGAAATACATGGATCCGCAACTGGGTATCTCTCGTAACTCGTATCAAATCGTATAGCATCATTCAATCCTGTAAACAACTAACAAATTTATTATACCGTAATTTTACTGATCAGTTCTCCTCACTCAGATACTACAGTACCAAATCAAATATCATAAAAACATAACTTAAGCTAGAGCAGTCACTCCATAGAGTGCATCTCCAGCTTGTGCCTGAAAAAAGTAACAACAATACGCAGGTCGTGTAAATAGGCGGAACTGCAGCATACTCTCAATGTAATAATGGGATTGTACGTCGTATATCTAGGAACGTTATTTCCTTGAGTGCTGCAGGATACCCCCAAGAAGATATGGAATCCCCCGTCAAATTCAGGTACATTACACGTTTTCTTGAGTGCTGCCTGAATACGTGGGGCGATTCCATTATTTTCTTTTATGAATATGCTCGAGGGTAAAAATCGATTTTCCGTGACCCTGACCTTGTCTTTTGGCCTTTTCTTCAGAATATTAAATGTTGTCTTTCTTTAATCATTATGTACTATTCCACTAAATTTTATGATTCATTAGTTTTTGCGTAAAACAAGACTTTTTTATTCCTTGTTTCGCGTACTTATTTTATTTAAAGATTATCGGAGGGCGATATAAAAATAGAATTTTGTTTTTTTATTTAGCAAATAGTTTTGCCAAAATCATGCAGATGGAGGAGGAAATAAAAATAAAATTTTATTGCTGAATGTAAAATAGGATGGTTAAATGCTTTAAATTAGTATAAATAAGAAGAAATATACATCTTATCTTTGGTGATTTCAACGCAGTTGAGGGCGCAATAAAAATAAATAAAAGAATTTTTTTTTTCTGAAATTTCCACTCTTTTTCATGTCGGTGGGTGTACTTAATTGGCCAAAAATCAAATTCTATTTTTATTTGAAATCATATTTGCAGTCGGCAGACAGAATATTACCCATTAATCATAATCAAGTCTCAACTTACTCTATTTTCGGGCTATGTTCAGGCTCAGAACTGCAGGTTCACGACATACTGTAGGCCTCATTATTTAGAGTACTGACAACTGTAGGCTATTCCCTAAATAGCAATAAACATAACACATTGTAGCCTTCTGTATATCAGTCAATAATTAATACAGTACGTCTGGGAATTACAGTTATTACATTGAAAATGTAAATGGTTCAGTCCAGTAAAATTATTCAGATACAGTATTGGTTTACAATCATTTTAGGCCACCGCGATCTACTACGACGTAGGCCCTGCCTTAGCCTAGGCCTAAGCTAGGGTAATTTAGTAAAGGCAAGGCCTCCTAGGATGCATAATCACTTAAATAGGCCTAGTATTAGTTAACAATGACAAATAATATATAACATTTTATGCAATAAACTGATCCGCTATAGCAAAACTATGACACAACAAATAATTCACATTTAATACACCTGTTAACATACCGCCCGACCGTACGTTATTCCTGATTTACTGTACTAAAACATGTGCGCCGCGCCCTGTCAGGCCAACTGTACCGAACCAAAAGCCAAAGGATAGATTTGCTTTGACCGAACTATAGCATGCAACAGGTGGGTGCCGCAACGTGCGCTCACAACTTATTCTGTCATATAGATGGCGCTATTCAAAATAAGAATTTCCACTGACAGAATATCGATTGATTATTATAGCATAATGTGTCTCAACGAGGTTTTCAAATTCACACATTAAGACGGTGAAGGCGTCAGTTAGAGGAGGGTCGGGGTGGCAGGGAATGTCCTCCGTCGGGGAGGATAAATAATTCGTCGCAATAGCAATAACACTGATTTTAAATAGATAAAGTGCTTTGCCCACAATGACACACGCAACATGCGCCGCTCACTGAATTCGAACCTTCGACCTCAAGATTAATTGAACTTTTTTTGATAAGATTGGTTATGGTTTAATATCTTATCTTTTTTGACTGGACTGGCTTCGATTGTCACGCCCCCGGTCTGGATACAGATCGAGCGATTTGGACGCTTTTGTAAACGAGGATAATGTACTCGAGTAGCTTGGTTCAAAGTTAGTAAATTCTATTTAAAATACTTTAGTTTGCATGAAATAGTTATTATAGTGTTAGAGTCATCCTAATTAGTTGCTCCTATGCAGTTTCTACAAGAGGGACAATGTAGGCCCGGGCTATGTGATCTAGGCTAGATATAGGTTAATGTTAATTGAATATGTAGAGAAATGGTAGACCAAACATGGAAGGCTTGCCTACATTACCAACAGTTATTTAGAATATGTGAATAAGTTTCCATACCATTGCAGGTACGTAATACTGTTTCGGGGCAAACATTATATTATACGTAACAGAAGAGAAATCTAACAGCTATATATATAATATAAATCAAGATTTATTACAAAATGTTTTTATTTATAGGACAACATTTGTTGAGAGCTATGCTACGCGATGTACCATCATGTCCTTTATTCGAACACTATATTTAACTTTCCTTACATTGCTTTTATCACATGTATCATCAATTTACATTAGCATATTACTTATTATGTAATTGATTGTCTTTATCTTGCTAGGTGTTCGGGCTTTGCGATTCTTGAGCAGTTGTGGTTGTATATCATCAAGAAACAACCGTTTTAACCTTTACCAAGCATCAGTAGCTTTCTTGCAACATAAAAAACCCTATACTGATCGGGCAAGTAATATTCACGTGGAGCAGGATGTAGATATAAAGGGTTAGTAATCCACCTGGTCATTTATCATTCACTGTCTAGCTGTGGTCATTCATCATCATTATTAGTGATCTACCCTTGGCAGGTTCAAGCAGCCATCCCTGCCATCTTTTACAGACTTGCACTTCTTTCCTAACTCTTGATACTAGCATGGAGGTATAAAAATGTATTTTAAATCTATTTTCAGCAATGCACATCTCTTTCAACCTTTCTGATTGGCTTATCCATATATCTTTATTCGAACCCTTTAATATAGACGAAAGAATAAATCTGATCGGCAATCCATTAATCAACCACATACCCTATATAGGGTCAATCACTTAATCAATCAACAGGGGTGGCGCCAGGATTTGCCCGACGAGGAGGCCGAGGTCCCGACGGGCTGAGGGGGGTGGATTCTCTGAGGATAGGTCAGATTTCCCCGACGAAAGCAAAATGGGCGTGGTCGGGCTTCGATTAAAAGGCTTCGAAAGCGGTCCAAGGGCGAAGGGTTTCAAAGGCTTATTTAATCGATTTTAGAGTCTATTAATATGTAGAAAATACATTTTTTTTCTCCCCGACGAATTGTGCTTTTTCTCTCCGACGGGGGACCCTGCCCCCCAACCCATGCTGGCGCCACCCCTGTCAATCGATTAGTCGTTCGATCCAATCTGAAGCTAATTATATATCTATGATTTCTTTCACTGTTTTAAGTATATATGTAGGCCTATTTCCGTTTGTCATTTTATTTCAATACCGGTAATTCACATCCAACAGCGGGAGGCCAGAATACACAGAATAGCCTGCTCTGGCTCCGCCCACTTACACAGTAATGTCGTAGGACCAATCAGACTTTCCGTTCCGGGCAAATCATTGAGCCACACAGATAAAGATTTTAAAGTACATGACAGCTCAAGCATTAAAGGAAAAAAAAAGACGCAAAGTTATGTATGGGGGAAGCCACTGATTAAGGGGATAACTTGCAATAAGGCGATATGAGGTGATGTTAGACTACTTGACCCTAAATATTTTGCTCAGCATAGTTTAGGTGCTGGGGGAGGGCGCCTGGGCAGATGCAAACTTTTATTAGTGGGCCTTCCGGGTACCCCTGTAGAACACGCCACTGGCCTAGTGTTGGATAGAAACAATATTTTATTAACTATAGATTATTATTTTTATTTTATTTTTTTTGCAGGACTTTCAATTCTACGATTTGATCGTAAACCAGTGAATGGTCTAGGCAAGGACTTTCTAGTTGAGCTGGATATGGCCCTCGAGAAGCTGGAAAACAACCCCAGCTGTCGTGGCGTGATACTAACCTCTGTAATAATTTGATTTTTTTTTTTCATAATGTAAACAAAAATGATTTTTTTTCTTTCATTTATGAGAGTTTCAATAAATAGAGGGGGATGTTTTAACCTGTAGTTTCTTGTGAGGTATTAAGGAATTTACCCTACGGAAAATGTACTGCGTTGACTCAATCCCGTGATTCTATTCACGGAAACAAAAAATAAGATTTCGTGAAGTGTGCATATTGTATCAATAGATCGAAAATGTTTATATTTAGTATGTCTACTATGTATTGCCCAGTGAGAGTCACTGGGTAATGGAAATTTTAAACCATATAAATTAACAAAAAGTGAAAAAAGGGTACTAGTATTAATTTACCATACAATTAACACAATTCAAAACTGTTAAACTTTCAGGCGATTCCTAAGATTTTCTCAGCGGGTATTGATGTTACAGAGATGTACAACAGATCAAACGACTACATCAACGCTGTCTATGGCAATCTTCAAAACATGTGGTTGAGGCTATATGGCTCACGTCTTGTTACCATGGCAGCCATTAATGTAAGCGTGTAACAACGTTTGTCTTTGCTCTACCGACGTATTTATTCGAATGAATGGATAGATTATTAACTTAATGAAATGAATCAATAAAAAGTACAATATGAACAAAAAATGAATGAATTTTTTTTTTTTTTTTTTTTCAGGGACATAGTCCGGGTGCTGGCTGCCTTATGGCAATGTCATGTGATTTCAGAGTAATGGCTTCCGGGAGGTACAGATTGCGGAACGGGGCATAGGCCTATAATTAATATGCAGCACCCACAAGTATTGGTCTTCCGACCGCAACCACAGATAAAGACAAGCCTGTGATATCTTGCTATGGCTATTCCTAATGTGCCTCATAAAGAGCTGGTTTTATGACACAGCAAAAACTTAAATTAAATTGCATTATACAGTGTACGGGCTGTCTCTTATACACATCTAGATGAGTATAAGAGACAGCGATTACGTAGGCCTATAAACATTTACCTGGCATATTCACAACAAAACTGGCTATGACCACCAACCAACAACAAACTATTTATCATCTAAGGTGTACGTTTCTTCACACACTACAACGCAAATTCAGTTTTATTATTACACCTCTTTCTTGAATGAAGAACAAGAAGTAGAAAATATCAAACAATCACAAGGGTGGGGCCAGTGGGGAAGAACCCCCCCCCCCCAACCCGTCGGGAAGAAAAACAACAGTTCGTCGGGAAGAATTTTTTTATGTATTTTTTACATATCTATCCATCTATAAAATCGATTAAATAAGCCTTTGAAATTCATAAATTGTCGTATTTAGGAACATTTTTGACCGACGCCGACTTTGCTCTCGTTGAGGACATCGGCCCCCGTCAAGGCCCTCACCCCCACCCCTGTTGAGCACATCCTGGCGCCACCCCTGAATAATCATTCAGATTGTAAATACCGAACTAAAAAGCCGGGCACTTGCTGCGTTGGATCGTACGGTGCACACTTCTATATTTTTGCAATGAAAACATCCTGTGAATAATAACCTGATATCAATTTATATATTTTGCAGACCATGCAAGACAAATAAGCAAACAAATGATGAGAGAGACAACTCTGGATAAACTTAAAGCCAGAAAAGATGAAGACATCGAATACTACACCAACTTTATTCAGCAGGATTCGGTCCAAAAAGTGCTCGGAATGTATATAGAGAGTCAAAAGAAAAAGAAGTAAAAAATGGCTTTTACAATGAATGTAATTACTATGGCAGTGACTTACTATACTATGGAAGTAAATAACAGCTAAATCCACCTAAAATAATACTGGTACTGTTATTGTTAAACAAATCATTTGTCAAAAATAAAGAAAGAAGAAACATTCCTTAATTGTGTGGCATTGTTTTGTTGAATAGTTTTTGGAAGTGAAATTTAGTATTTTGGCTCATTTTTAAGCGTTTTGGAGTGGTAGAAACGGCACCACAACGCTAATTAACATAGTCTTATTAGATTAACTAATATATAATAGTATTATTATTATTATTATAATTATTATTATTATTATTATTATTATTATTATTATTATTATTATTATTATATATATAGGCCTAAGCTTAACACCTGTCTCTTATACACATCTAGATGTGTATAAGAGATACAAGTTGGGAAGCCTAGCTAAGATGTGTATAAGAGACAGGGGTAGGCGGGGTTGCGAAGATAAATGGGGTGGATCGATTATTACGTTGCGTTGCGTGATATATTAAGCGATTAGTAATTTGAACTCGACTTTATAAAAGAAAAACAGCCTTAACATGTCTTCAATAGCTTCCACTTCTTAGTACAGCAATACAGCACTACTAAAATTAACATTACACAAAATTCATGTTTACTTTTTATTTATATTGCATTTTAGAACATTTTATATATAACACGCACATAGATGATTCACATTTTAATCTTCAACATTACATAGCAATATGATTATATTATTTGTACTCGGGAATTGTTTGGTATACTGTTGTACGTTGCTTTTGAAAGACAGGCAACGTAACGCACGTGTATCTCCAAATCTATGCAGATGGGTGTCGTGCTATAACAAACGTGCGCAACGTATTGCCATATAGATGGCGCTATTCAAAAAAACCAAAATTTCCACTTTCAAGACGATTGATTATTTGATAAAATTATGTCTTTACCAAGGACACATCAAAGAGGTTTTCAAATTCACGCAACATCAAGAGAGTGAAGGCACCAGTTGGGGGAGGGGCGGGTTGGCAGGGGAATGTCCTCCGTCTTTGAGGATAAGCAATTCGTCGCAATAGCAATAACAATAATTTTAAATAGATAAAACGCCTTGCTGATAATCATTACGCAGCATGTGGCGCTCCCGATTTTTGTTTTTTGTTTGTTTGTTTGGTTTTTTTGGATAAAGTTGAGCCCATTGCAAGTTCTAAGCCAATCGCGGCGCCGTCTTATGCGCGCAACATACACATTTTTTGAATTTTAAAATCATGTTCGTCTTTAATCTTTTGTGGGGATCGTCCGTAACACGAATTTACTCTAAAAATGCTCGACACATACAAAAATCGTCTGAAGTCCGATCTCAAACTCGGGGTTCGTCTTATACGCGGATCGTCTTAATACCCGAGAATATATGGTTCGTAGGCTATCTTATGTTCAAGTATCGGAACATACTGTAAACAGTGATCCTGTTCTGTGCCACCTTGAGGATGGTATTATCGCCGCTCCAAAGCCGCATTCATGAACTTAGTGTCGAGAAGTAAACGAGCGTGGTTATTAAATTTGATGATAATTTTTGGTGTGACATAATCTTTGTACAACTTACAATTATTTTGTCCACCTGCGTGATATCTCTCGCAGGTGGTCAAATGTAAATGTATACATTCCAGAATATCGAAGCAAATTAACAAGGTATAACTAGGTATTTTCATACATGACATCTTTCTTTACATTAAATAAAGTAAGGAAGCAATGAACTCAAGGTCGGACTAAAAGCAAACCTGACCACAATCATAATCATATTAATTGGCCAAGCCTGAGGTCGATGGGTCGCGGCTGAGTGTTAAATATTTGAATTTTGGTCGCAGGCTAAAAAGATTGCGGAACGGGGCATAGGCCTATAATTAATATGCAGCACCCACAAGTATTGGTCTTCCGACCGCAACCACAGATAAAGACAAGCCTGTGATATCTTGCTATGGCTATTCCTAATGTGCCTCATAAAGAGCTGGTTTTATGACACAGCAAAAACTTAAATTAAATTGCATTATACAGTGTACGGGTGACACTTATGGGCCACCGTACTGTTGTTATTTAATCAATGACGAATAGTATAAATCGAAATACAACGAAAAAATCTCTTAATTTTTAAACGATTTCAGCCTCATTGTTCTTATAAAAAAAGTGTATGCAGAAACCCTAACGTTACGGTATTATGTATACAGTGCTTCGAGTCCTTGTCAATCAGCCACCTACTCGCACATGCGCCTAGACGTTGTGACCTACGGCCATGCCTATGACGTACTGTTTACGCGCTCTGATTGGCTTAGAACTTGCAATGGGCTCAACTTACCTTCAGAAAAAAAAAGAAAAAAAAAAAAAAACCCCTCGAAAAAAAAAAAAAAAAAAAAAAAAAAAAAAAAAATTTGCGCGCCGCTCACAATTCCAACCTTCGACCACCTCTGATCATTGAAGATTGTTTATGGTTTTGTATCTTGTCTGATCTTTTATTTTTTACTGGTCTGGCACCGATTGTCACGCCCCTGTCTGGATACAAACCAAACAAATTGGATAAAATCGGGGGATTTTATAAACGAGAATGATGTACTCAAGTAGCTTGGTTCAAAGTAAGTAAATTCTTATTTAAAATATTTTAGTTTGTAAGATATTATAATGTTAGGGTCATCCAAACAATTGTTCCTATACAGTTTTTACAAGTTGGGAAGCCTAGCTATGAGATCTAGGCTAGATATAGATCCATAATGTTACTGAATGTGTAGAAAACGTGGAAATTATTAACAATAATTGTTCATAACATGTCAAGAATCAGTTTCCATACTATCGCAGGTAACGTAAATCCTGCATATATATACGTTATACACGTAACAGAAGAGGAACTTAAGAAAAAAAACAAAGGAATATATATCTGTCTCTTATACACATCTAGATGTTGTCTTGCTAGGTGTTCGGGCTTTTCGATTCTTGAGCAGTTGTGGTTGTATATCATCAAGAAACAAACGTTTTAGCCCTTACCAGGCATCAGTAGCCTTTTCGCAACATAAAAAATCTTATACTGATGGGGCAAACAATATTCACGTGGAGCAGGATGTAGATATAAAGGGTTAGTATTCAACCTGGTCATTTATCATTCACTGTCTAGCTGGTCATTCATCATCATTAGTGATCTTCCCTTTGGCAGGTTCAAGCAGCCATTCCTGTACTTTTTTTTTCTTAACCCTTGATCTAGCTTCCATGTTTGAGGCTATTCAGGAATGCACATCTCTTTCAACCTTTCTGATTGGCTTATCCAGATATCTTTATTCGAAAGCCTTTAGCTGGTCATTACACTATGGGCGGCCATTGGATTCAGAGTTTGTTGAGTTTTCTATTTTGACCCTAATGGCCGCACATATTACACAGGCTAAAGTCTAAACAATCTGACCAGTTTAATCAATATTCAATTATAACCAACCAACTAGCCAGTCACTTAGGGGTCATCCATTGTTTTAATCATTTTTACAAGCGTACAATGCTGGGGAGGGGGTGCTTGAAGGCGTGTGTACGCTTTTAAAGAAGTACAAAAATGACGATTTGGAAATGTTAGCCTACGTTTTTGTGCCTAGCCATTCCCCTAGACAGCCAATGTTTACTCTTGTATATAACCACATCCCAGCATAATAATTAAATTGTCTTTTTTACTGTATTTCTTTATTATTATTATGGATTTTGTATTGTCTCTATTTTTGATATTTATATGTTAATCTTGATGCAAGCTTTTACTGTTCGTGGGTCCCCCGAGCACCCCTAGAACACACCACTGATGCAGCATTGGATAGAAACAATATTGTAGTAACTATGGATTATTTTCGTTGCAGGACTTTCAATTCTACGATTTGATCGTAAACCAGTGAACAGTCTAGGCAAGGACTTTCTAGTTGAGCTGGATATGGCCCTCGAGAAGTTGGAAAACAATCCCAGTTGTCGTGGCGTGATACTAACCTCTGTAATCACTTGCATTTTTTTTTTATAATGTAAACATATATGATTCAAACAAATTTTCCTTCACTTGTTGTCAGTACCGAATGAGATTTTCAATAGATAGCAGTGGCGGATCCAGGAATTCGAAATAGAATTTGGGGGGGGGGGGGGAAAGGGGGGGGGGAGGGGCTTT